CCACAGACAAAGCATGATCTTTTCTCTTTCTCTAAGCCCTTGGTTTATTACTATTATTATTTTAGTTGTTTTGATTATTATTATTAGGGTCATTATTGAAACGTTTATTAAATCGATTATTTTTAAAATTCCTAACCCTAGGCTGAAAATTATTTTTATAATTGTTGTTATTCCTATAATTATTATGAGTGTTTTCCACTAGGTTTACTTTAGGAGGTCTCTCATTTATTGAGTTTGTACTCGCCCTAGGTTTATCTTCCACCCTAAGAGAGTTTATGGTTTGGGTCAAGGTGAACTCTCCTTGTTTATGCCTAAGAGTCCTGGCAAAATTATCTCATGAAGGTGAAAACTTATCAATTAAATTTGAAACTTTAAAGTTTTCGTTAAAAATAGTCCCATTTTTTTCTACTTGTCTCAAGAGCTCTTGATATTCATGAATTTGGTCTCTCACATATTTATTGTCCACCATTTTGCAACTATTAAAGTTGGAGATGACAAACCTTTTAATCCTAGTATTATCAATTCCATATTCAACCTCTAATGTGTTCCAAGTTCTTTAGCAGTTTTTGTAGTGCTTTGGTACATGTCATAAAGATGATCAGATAAGGCACTAAGTATCATATTGAGGCAGTGATATTCTTTTTGTTCTTGAGTCAACCATGAGGATGTCTCTTTACCAGATTGATTTTGCCCTAAGGTAGATACTAGGCCTAACACAGTTAACTAATATTGCATTTGTTTTTGCCACCTACGAAAATTTTGACCATTAAACATTTCGGATCTCACACTATTGGCTTCATCTAAATATCCCATTTCAAAATTTTGGTTATAGGGCAAAAAGAAATACTAGATTATCCTGTAAGAAAAATTTTAAACTCAAATGTCACTTTGAGTTTTATTTTGTCTATTAAATGCAACAATCAAATTTTTTAATTAAATATAAACTAATTCTCAAGTACTGATATTTAATCTTTAAAACAACTCACTGGTATATCACTTCACTAATAGAAATAATTTTTAAAATTTTTTTTCAATTTTTTTTTTATAATTTCAAATACTAGTTACTGTTTTATGTATTAAATTAAACTAGAACACAACTTCCAAAAATAAACTCGAGTCGCTGTAGAATGTTAAAAAACACAGGAACAAAAAACCAAAGTCAAAAAGTGATCAGCAACTAAACAATATTAAATGAATAAGCATGACACATATAATTTAATAATTAAACTAAATAATATATAAAATTTGTGAAACAGTAACAACTTGATTGTAACAAATTATATATTGTGGATGCATACAATATAACTATTGACACATGTATCAAATAAAAACTAATAATTTAACAAATGTAATTGAACACAATATAAAAACAATGAAAAATAAATTAGAAAGATCTAGCCTTTGAAGGTCTGTGAGGCACGTTGAAATTTTGTCCTAAACCGATTGAGTCTCCCTACGTGAAGGTATTAGCGGACTGCAATGGCTCCAATATACAACTTATATTCAAAGCAAGAACTCCTCCGGGTTCACGTACACCGAAAAGTGAGAATGAATCAGACTCTAATCGAGTTGCCCAAAAATTTAGTAGAATCAAAATACTCAAGAATGTAGAGAAGAAGAAAGCCCTTTTTGAACACCCAATGTAAAATGATACTAAAAGTTTTTGCCGACTTTTATACCAAATGAAATAGAGTTTGCCAACTTTTCCTTGTAGACCAAATGAAACAGTGTTTTTTAAGTTGTTGGAAGGATTTTTTCTATCTTAAAACTCAATGGTTTTTGTCTTTTTTATAGGCAGAAGATTTGCCTAAACGCTATGAACAAACCCAGTGGAAAAAGTGTCGTTGCTATGCAACGGTTTGGACTTCAAAATTGCACTATTTAGAAAGTCTAATTGAAATTCAAGTTTTAACTCCTTCACCAACCGTCTCATATATATAATATATAATAATTCAGAATGTATTAAATAAATCTTAGGGAACATAAGAAAAATGGATGTGTTTTTTTTTTTAGAAAAAATAAAAAACTTAATTTATTCCAACACATTCCACAAATCATACGAATAAATAATGAAAATTTTCTATAATTAAATACAGGTACAAGATAATAAGTAAAACATTTATAAAAATCTCTCAACACTTCAACATTAGAAATATACAAACTATAAATTAAAGTCAAACCATCATAACATATATCATGCATGTCTCGCATACGAACAATATAATCAACCATACCGGTTTACGCATAAATCATCCCCGGGGAACCTTTTGGGTCTTGCACCCTAGGGTCTCATCGCCCTTCTTGCTTTTTAAAGGGACTGTGTAGGGTACAACTTGTGACGCCACATAAGTCATTATCGAAAATCACTACCATAACCAATCCCCCTTAGAACTAGTAGCTGCCTTGACAACCAATTTCATAGGCTCAACCGTCTACTAACTTTCTGCCTATCAGTATCGAGTATACATTTTCTAAAACTCCTTATTTTCTATATTCATTAATCCTTTTGAAAACTCATGTCAAAACCTTGACATTTTATCAAACATATAGTATACTCAAATCTCAAAATTTACATTTTCAAAGCAACACAACAAATTCCAAGTGAATAAGTCATATATATTATGTACAAAATCATAGCATACTTCAAAATTCCCAAATCATAAGTTTAATCAAATACCCATAACTAAAATCAAACTAGAATTTCAAACCCACCACAAAATTATTTTTATTTTCAAGAGAATATGTAATATATATTATGTACAAGATCATAACATACTTTAAAACTCCCAAATCATAAGACTAATCAAATATTCATAACTAAAATTATACTAGGGTTTCAAACCCATAAGACTCATGTGAGTTCACAATTCATTGCATACTCAATAATAAATCAAGGTTTATAACAAATATTTTGTCATCAAACACATAGTAAGCTTTGACTAAAGAAAATACATGAGATGCACAATATAATGCAAGAGAGAGGAAAATTCCACCTAGAAATCAAGAATTACAAGTTAAGTTCTTAGGATTTTCAAGCAAAATTCAAACTTTAGAGACCAATTGTGAGATCCCAAATTTTTAGAAGTAGTTTAAGTATAAAATATTATGAGTTTTGATGTAAAGGTATAAAGAATATTTAAGTTTTGTGGTTGATATATATAGTAAGTAAAATAAAGTGGAGCAAAGTACAAATATTTTAACTCTTGTGATGCTTTGGTCTTCACCCATGGGAAGACTTTGAAAAAAAAGAGTGAAGACTTTGAGAAAAAAAAAAAAAAAAAAGAAGCTAGCATTTAATAAATGGTAGAAAATGTGGGTGTGTGTAATTAATGGTGTGGAAAATGTGTGTGTGTACTTTAAGGTGTAATAAAGTGTGTGTGTTTAAAACATAAATCAGTGTGTGTGTGTGTATGTTCTGGTTTGTTGAAACCGTGAGTGAAGGAGAATAAAAGGAGAGGGAAGAAAAATATATGTGTTTGTGTGTGTTAAGCCGAGAGCAAAGGAGGAAGAGAGGGATAGAGAAAATAAATCTTGGTGGGTGTTTTTAGTTCAAACCGAGAGGAAGAAGAAGAATGGAATGGAAATCAGAGTTATCGAATTCAAATAATGATTCTAAGGTATGGGGTGGTATGCAATATGCTCTCCTTAAATCTCTTTGCAAAGAGTATTTATTTGATTATCCTCTGATTTGTATTCTAAATTATGCTATCGTTATTTTAGAATTTCGATTATCGTTGAATATATTGATCTCATTGATCGTGTTCTGTGGATATTGAGACCAAATCGTGGTAGCCAATAGTCAAGAGACCCGTGAGATTGGGTTGAGGGTGGATGATTGGTGAGGTGTCAGATCTGTGTTAAAATTTTGCATGACGTGTGATATTCAAATTTAATATTTGTATCTATTGATTGAGATACTTTATGATACTCGATTATTTGTTATTCAATGTCCTTGAGCATATTTTTGTTCGTCATATTGTATATTTCCCTACTTTATTTAATATTTTCAAGTTGATTTTAGAGAAAAGATTTGAACAAGATAATCAGAGTATTAAAAACGATGAGATGTCGACATAATTGATGTTTTATTCATATTGAGAGATTTATTTATGGTGACAAATTTATTTGTATTGGGAGATGATTTTGATAAATGAAATTTTATTGAGACAATTAGTACTCTGTTATTTTTATTTGGGTATTTTTATATCAATTAACGTCTCCGAAAAGAAGAGAAAAATCGAGGCGTTACATACTCTCTCTTGCCTATCTTTTTTTTTATATATATATATCTTACATAGTGGCGTCGTTTGCTATTTATACTCCTTATCATTAGGGTTTCGCAATGGTTTTTTTTTTTGACTAATTACGTGATCCCCTCTCATTTGTCATATAGCTGAACCTACTATCCTGATGTTTTTTTATGCCTACGCCTAAAATTGACCATGAAATATCTCTACTATCGCTATTAGTGAATATTTGTTCGTTAGAATTGTTAAGTATTGTCCCACCCCCCCGTTGTCCACGTGCCAGGATAGAGGTTACCTTAGATCTTCTTGGTGCCGAGCTCCAAACTACCTAGCAGATCCTTTTCGCTGAGCTTGTTGACGTCGAGCTTATTGATGCCGAGTTGGGATTTGTTCAGAGCTGAACACGGATATGGGGAAAGATGCTTGGGTCATCTTAAGCGAGTCCCCAATGGGTTTTGGGCTTAAAAGGGCCCAAACTTAAATGAATTATTATAAGATAAAATATAAATAATTTTTAATTATGTGCTCAAATTCATACCAAATTTAATTAATTCGTATAATTTTTTAAGTCAAATATAATAATTATAAAAGAGTTCTCAAAAAAATTTGAGGGTCAAATGAGTATAAGAAATAAAAATTAAATGAAGATAAATATGATATAATTAATTTTATAACAATAATTAGAAATAAAATAGGAGCTTCACTTCCTATGCAACACTTGAGTAATTCTCTTCCAACTAGAATACCAACTCCCCTCTATCTCTCTTCCCCCCACGTTCAGGTTCGGGCCGAGACGACCAGCGACTGGCTTTATCGAAAGGATGGATCCTACGCGAGCTTTTGTCAAGAATGTCAAGCGTGTTGTTATCAAGGTATGTATCACTCGTTTTTGTTGCCCTCTCTCTCTCTTCGGTGTGTGTTTTGGTGTATTTTTTGCGTTGCATGGAACCCAATCTTATTGTTTCTAGCGTTTTTTTGGGATAATGTAGGTGGTTGGCTTGCAAGAATTATGATATTTTACAATTGGGGTTTCAGTTGTTCACTGATAATTAATTCTTTCCTGGTTTTGGTAGTTAGAAAGTGGGCATTGTTGTTATCAGTGTGTTCTTAAAATATAAATATTATTATTATTATTATTATAATTATACAAATTCTGTGAACTTTAAAAAAAAACTGGATTTGTCAAGATTTGTATGGCCTACAATTGAGCTGATTTTCAATGATATTTGGGGCTCACTTGATTTTGATAAACGATCACTGTTGATGTTGCACAGCAGGTTCGGAGATTTGAGAGTTGCTTTGCCAGCTCTTTTAGTTTCTGGAGTAAAAGATACCAGCTGCTCTAAATTCTTGACCTGACGTAGAGAGCATATTAAAATAATTATATATATTCAACATAATCCTCGTGGAATTGGATTATATGCTTTAGAAAACGTTAGTGTGGACAATGTCACTCCCTTATGGAAATTTCAAAGGCCTATGATCTCTTATGATCAGAGGGATTCTGAGGCACAGGCAGATATGGCAATCTAAAGCATTAGTATTTAAGTAAACAGCTGGCTCCTTGTATATGTAGTTTAAAATTTGCATATGAGTGCTCTACTAGGCTGGAAATAAGGTAGATTAAGATGGAATCATAATTGCAACATGCAGGAATCCCCGTTTCTTCTGACTTGAGAATTGCATTGAAATCCTTCTTAAACTTATATTTATTTATCCACATGGCGGATATATCTACCCTATGGCCCTTTTCTATGTTTGCACAATACTGTGTTCATTCCTTGCCAAGCCAAATATCTCTGTTATACGTGCCTGTTTTTAGGTTTGCATCCCATTGGGTTCACCAGCTTAAACATCTTGTTATTTCATGGAGGGAGTCTCTCTGTTCTCTTTATGATCTAAGGAAGTCGTAGTAGTTCATCATTAGATGAGTTCACTATTCTTTATTTGAATCACTGAAGGTAGGAACTGCTGTGGTCACAAGAGATGATGGAAGACTGGCAGTTGGCAGAGTTGGAGCTATTTTTGAGCAGGTACTTTAAGCTGTCCATTAAAACATCCATATTAATATGATAGGAAAGAAAGAAAAAAACAGAAAACAAACAACTTAGTAGATAAATGTCTGAAGAGGAGGAAGCAGTTATGTTTTGATCTTATTTCAGCTCATGATTTGGAAATTTCTTCTTGAATTCCTTTGCAATATCCTTTGATTCTTTATTATTGGTTGTCGGACTTGCATATTTCACCACATGTCAAACAGTGAATATTTTATTTCTCAGTTAAAGCTTATGCTACAGATCGACAAGGTAGACACTTCAAGTCTCATAACCGATATAAATCTTATGTGGCCCACGTGGCATATGTTATAGCTGTTGGTTTTATGCAATGAATTATCTGCCTGCAGCTTGAAACGTTGAACTCTCGAGGCTTTGAGATAATTTTAGTGACCTCAGGTGCTGTTGGAGCTGGCCGCCAAAGGCTAAAATACAGGAAACTGATTCACAGCAGGTTTTTTTTTGCTCTGACATTCTATATTATTCTTTTCTGATTAATTTCTTATAAGAAATTGTATTTGAATTCTTTTAAGAATAGCAAAGTTACCAATAGAGTATCTTCTTCCCTGAAATTTTGCATGCTAAGAAATGTTATTCTATCATCTGCTTACATTGAATGAATATCTACTCTGGGTTCAACCTTAAACATTTGCTTGTTGGATATTTGAAGTCATATATTTTGGCCTTTCTCTTTGCAGTTTTGCTGATCTCCAAAAACCACAAGTTGAACTAGATGGAAAGGCATGTGCAGCTGTTGGGCAGAATGGTCTAATGGCACTTTATGACAATTTATTTAGCCAGGTGAGTATGCTAATTTTTCTTTATTCCATTTCGGGCTAAATATAAAACCAGTAAAAGGGTTTTGCATTTTGTTGGATTTCTTACAGCAGTTATCCCTTGCCACAGTGCAGCTAGTCATTTCCTGTGCACTTTGCTGTCTATCTTTTTTTGTTAATATTTTGTTTTTTTGACTCCATGTATTTCTTTTTACAGCTGGACGTGACCTCTTCTCAACTTTTAGTAACAGATAATGATTTTAAGAATGCGGATTTCAGAGTGCAACTTTCTGAAACAGTGAATACATTGTTATCTTTCAGAAGCATACCTATTTTTAATGAAAATGATGCAATTAGCACCAGGAATGATCCCTACGAGGTGCATAACTCCTTTACATTCATCTCTGTCTTGTCATTTGAATGGAATGCATTGCGTGTGATGTTGTCATATCTCTCTTTTTTTTCTCGATCTCTAAGTGCAAAACAAGAAGGGGGCTAAAAACTTCCCATTGATAGAAATTAAAAAAAATGGTTTTGTATATTGTTTCTCACATTAATTCCCTCAAATTCATTTGGAATAAGTGATACTACACTCTTTGCACATCCACCATGTACACCAGACCAGCAACCTGTGGTTCTGTGCTTCTCTGTTGGCCTGGCACTATGAATACTTGTAGAAATTTCAAGGATCAAGTTTGATCTCGCTGTTATTCAAAAATACTATTGAATATGGAGTCGAGTCACATTCTTAAGAAAGACAATAAACGGCGCCATCCATACCATGCTAAATTGTTAATCATACACCGACTTTATAAAGTTCTCAGATAACCAGATACATGATATGCACCACTTATTTTATGATGATATAAGTATGAGCAATCAAAGGGGCAATGGCGTGGTCTAGGAAGGACTGACATCCAGAAAGATGAAACTTACCCCAAAAAAAAAGATATCCAGAAAGATGACTGCGATAGGTATCGTACGCTGAAGGCCTTGAAGGTCTTCTGCTTGAAGGTGTTTGTTCAGCCTTACCTGGCCATAGGATAACAATTTATATTTTCCCATTTTTCCTTTATAAGACTAGTGGTAGGCTAACATTATAAAAGCGCACGCAAATTAAGTGAGGTATATCAGCATCAAGTGTATAGCCTTTTCAATTGGATTATTAGCTGTCTTAATATAAAGCTTAGTTTAGAAAATGTCACCTGATTTGAATTTCAAATTAAACAAGTAAAATCATCACTGCTCCAGCGCATACCAGGTATTTTCCTTTCTACAAGTAGTTACAGTGTTGCTGTTGGTTTTTATTTTGTTGAATTTTTTAGGCTTGGACACCATTACAAGAATGTTTATTCAAGCCCATGAAAGATGTACCACATTTATGCAATGCAAGTATGCAATACTCCCACAATTAGCATACAATTGAAATTCCAATAGTCATTTAGGATTAATATTTAATAGGCTGGCAGATAGCCACTTCCTATTACTAAAATTGTTGAAGCATTGACTTAATGCCTCCTGTGCTGTCTCTTGTCTGGAAATGAGAAAATTGATTGCTTTTTCTATTTCATGCAATTTGTTTTCATATCACTTTTATTTTAATCTCATTTGTAATTCATCCATGAGATCTGATTATAAGCACTGTTTGCAGGATTCTTCCGGTATATTTTGGGACAACGATAGTTTGGCAGCGCTACTAGCTGTGGAACTAAAAGCTGACCTTCTTATCTTGTTAAGTGACGTAGAAGGCCTGTATAGTGGCCCTCCAAGTGATCCACGCTCAAAACTAATCCATACATATGTAAAACATAAACATCAGGGAGTGATTACATTTGGAGATAAGTCAAGGGTTGGAAGAGGGGGAATGGATGCAAAAGTAAAAGCTGCTGTTAAAGCAGCTTATGCTGGTACCCCCGTTATCATTGCCAGGTATTATTCTACTGCATGGTCATTTTAACATAGACTTAACTGAACTGAGGATGCCGTTTCCATTTTTCGACTTTGTCCCAGATCGGAAGTAGATTGCAACTTAAAACTAGTATATGATCCTTGTGGGCCTCTCCATGCATGGGGAACCAAACATGAAATCAATGAAGCTTAGGCATTTTTTATTCTTTGATCTCATATCATTCCTCTAAACAGTGTTCATACCCTGTTCTAGTTAATGTTATCATCTTTTTGTTTTCTCCGTGTGATGTGGTCCTTCAATAGTTAAGGTCTTAACCTTGCTTTTCCTTATATTTGCATACTGAAAAGTTAATAATATAATGCATAGAATAATTGGATTTCTATTTGTGAAATTTATATTTCATCACTTGCAGTAGGAGGAATGCTGGGTTTGCTAGTTTCACTTTACATTCTTATTTTGTTCCATTTTCTTGCAAGTGGATTTGCCACAGATAACATCACAAAGGTACTAAACGGAGAATGTATTGGGACCCTCTTTCATGAGGATGCACATTCATGGATTCCTCCTACCGAAGTTGGTGCACGGGAGATGGCAGTTGCAGCACGGGAATGTTCCAGAAGACTTCAGGTCATTATTATCATGTTCTTTGGTGTGACATGCACTCTGGTTTCTTGTGGAAGTATCAACCTAATTTGCAACACATTTAGTCTATTGAACACTCTTTCTTCGCTTTGTACTTTTAGTGCAGAGTGCCAATAATCTATATGATTGCTTTCCATTCCAGGGCCTACCTTCACAAGATAGAAGAAAAATTTTGTTGGATGTTGCTGAAGCACTGGAGGCAAATGAAAGTTTGATCATGATTGCGAATGAAACTGATGTTGCCACTGCTCAGGATGCTGGTTACAATGAGTCAATAGTATCTCGCCTGGCCTTGAAGCCTGGAAAGGCAAGTAGTAAACTAGTAATTTGTGTTCCTTGTTGGTAGTTTGCGATAAATAGATTGTTGATTTATTGCCGGACTGTTTTATTTTGTATTCTCCAGTTTTCACTTACCTGTGGATGAAATTATTTTCATTTTTTTTGGTGCATAATTCTCTCCTGGGATGCAGTTTTGATGCTTTCCAAGGCCAGCCTGTCCTATTGCTATGTCAGAACTTTGGTAAATATTCTTGACTACAAACCTGTATTTTGCAGATATCTGCTCTTGCAAAATCTATGCGTACACTTGCGGACGTGGAAGAACCCATTGGTTCCATCGTGAAGAGAACAAAAGTGAGGAGACTTTCATTGAACTCTTTCTTTTTCTTTTTTTCCGGAAAAGTATATCTGGATATCTATTCTTGAAACTTGAAAAATAAAAAAATAAAAATTATTGAAAAGGTAATGGTATGAACTATATCCATATCATTTCAGTTATCCATCAGTGAATCAGTTTTGTAGTAGAGTTCTGTTACTTGTGTGCTGTGAAGATGAAATTCTAATTATATGCACTATCATAAACACTCAAATTATGAAACTTGTTCACTCTTTGGTCCAAAGCTTTAGGGAGCTTTGGAGGTTTACCTTTGTCAAATCTCCAACAGAATTGGAAGGCAGCGTTATTTTAGTGTGATTGTTCTTTGATATTAATTTTTACGTTTATTCTTTTTGAGGATATCTTGTTCTCAATATTGTAATTTGTTTTCTCCTTCTTTCACTCTATAATAAAATTCTTTTTTTATCTAAAAAGGTAGGATTTTAATATCTTGGTGTTCTTCGCTTTGATATTTCATTAGTTTGACGCATCTCCTAACTATGCTGGCTTCCAGCTTGCAGATGGACTCATCTTGGAGAAGACATCATATCCTCTGGGTGTTTTGCTCATTATTTTTGAGTCTCGACCTGATGCACTAGTCCAGGTAAAAAAGACTATCTTAGCTTATATAGTCCTCTGGTATACTAGCAACCTTGTGGATGCCTTGGATGTCATTAAGAAAAGATGTATGGAAGGTTGAGCTGAATGAATTAATTTTAGGTTTTATTACCATTTAGGTTGGCTGTAAACCTCTAAATAGATATTTTGTCTTTCAAAGGCAAGAGAAGTTACTGCCCACCTTGCCAATAATTGTTGCATCACCTTGGATTGGCCTGTTAGATGTGCCATGTTTTAGTAGCCTGACTATACTCCTACATTCAGTTGTGTGCATTTCCAAGTCTTCATTATATCTGCAAAGGTACACGTAGTTCTATTCTATGAAATAAGCTAAAACCATGTTAGTGTTAAGTGCTTGGCATGAAAAGCTGGAAATGCAAATGTGTGGATTGTGTGACTTACTGGAATAACTTATTAATTCTTTACCCTTCTTTTTCACTGTAATTCTGTCTCATTTTTGGTAATCAAACAGTGGTAATGGTCTGACAACTTGTGAGTCAACTAATTACAATTCAGGCATATTTAGGTGATATTCTTGATGTGTTCCGTGTGTGATGTTTTCTTGGGTAATTGACCATTGGTTCTCTTTTGCTCAATAGATAGCTTCATTGGCAATTCGGAGTGGGAATGGCCTACTTCTGAAGGGAGGAAAAGAAGCAAAATGCTCCAATGCAGTCTTGCACAGGGTCTGATGTCGTCTTTCCAGGCTGTCATATGTCACTTAATTAGGAAATTCTTTTCCATTTTGTTTACCCGTTAACTTGGATTATTCTCTCCTTACAATTTTCATTGTTTTCACAGGTAATTACTGCAGCCATACCTGACACTGTGGGTGAAAAACTTATTGGACTTGTGACTTCAAGAGAGGATATCCCTGACTTGCTAAAGGTAAGCATTGAGGTTTCATAGTTGATGCTCTTCATGTGATGTTGGTTATTAACTGATTGTATACTTCTCTAGCTTGATGATGTCATAGATCTTGTGATCCCAAGAGGCAGCAATAAACTTGTTTCTGAAATACGAAATTCTACAAAAATTCCTGTTCTTGGTCACGCTGGTAAGAGATATTTCTTGATATTTTCTATTGAGAGTAACATATTTTCCAGAATACCTAAGAAACTAGGGCTTCCAATAAATTTTCGATTTCTGAATTCCAGATGGAATTTGCCATGTTTATGTTGATAAGTCAGCTGATATGGACATGGCAAGGCGCATTGTCTTGGATGCGAAGACAGATTATCCTGCAGCGTGTAATGCTATGGTAAATTCAGTATGATCTCTTATATCTGTAGGATGTACCTGTTATGTTTTTGTTCTTAAATATCTCACAAGTGTACTTTTCTTACATGCTTCTGGTATAAACTCGTTTGCATAGTCATCTCACGGTGTTGTTCACCTTGTCCTTCTTAGGAAACACTACTCGTACACCAGGATTTGTCAACTAATGGTGGGCTCTTGGAACTTGTTAAAACACTTGAACGTGAAGGTATGACTCACTCTGTGTACATTCTTTCTTTCTCAAGCTTTTTAAAACTTTTTAAAAATATCCAATTATTGCCACATTACAACATCATTATCCAGTATCATAAACTAGCATTTCTTTGGCTAAATGCAGTATAACAGAAAGGAAATGCCCGTATCATGCATCTCCAGGATAGAAATACAATAAACTGAAGGAAATTCTAGCTTGTAATGGTATCAAATAAACTGAAGGAAGCGGATTTTAGCTTGTATTTACATACCTAGTCAGTGCACACGTGTCGCACGTGGACTATCTCATACAAACATTTTCAAATCTACCAGTTGTTGTAGTCACCTCTTGATTTCTATCTTTAGATGTTTAATTTCACCATGCTTTGGTAAAATCATATTAATAGTAAGAGAAACATACAGACAACATCATAGTGACAGTAAGAGAAAAGTCATTTAGCTTGTAGAGAGAGCTATCCAATCTATATAGGCAAGCCCCATGTATTTTTCTTAATTTAAAAAAAAAATATACTTTTTTTTAGTTCATGTAGCTGTAGAATAAATATGTCTAAAAGGCACTGGAGTCAATAAATAGTTTCCCATGTGTTGAAGTCATGAAAGAGTGATGACAACCATTTGACAAAAAAATCCAAGAAATGCAGACTCGAAATTGAGAAGAAAAAAAATACTACTGAACAAAGGAACACATGGTCGCAATATCAGTTTCTTTAATGCAAATATAATAGCATAATAGGGATACATCAATAGACATACCTCTGTGGTTGCATTAGAATTCACCTTGTAAACAAGAATTCTCAAGCTTGTAATTATATCTCAGTAGACACAACTGGAATATCAATTCAACAAAAGCTACAATATATCAATAAATAAGTATTTCATTTCAAATGTTCTAACTAACTATTAAGGGGCATGAAAAATTGGAATTGCATTTCTTAATACTCGTAAAAAAACTCAACATTAAAAAAAAAGGATGATTAGAAGGCAAATTCACATAAGTTTGAGTGATCTCCAAAAATAGGCATTAAGAGATTGGTATGTATGCTTCATCTTCTTGTTTTACTAAATTTCTAATATTTATCCTTTTTGTTTTTTCCTGGCAATTCTACTTCGTAAGTTCTAGAGCACCCATGTTTTCTTTGGAATGGATTTAGAGTCAGGTGATTTAGAAAAGAATGAAAATTTTACTTTTAAGCCCAAAATGTGTTTTCATATGCTTGTTTGTTGTAGGCGGCTTTAAACCTTTAGAATTGTATTCTTCTTAATGAGTCTTTTGGCTATCTTCTGGAAAATTCTTTCTTTGATCTTAAGTTGTAAAGCTTACACGAGAGAGATGATGCATTTTAAAGACAATGTACTTGAGCCGCATGAAACTATAACCACCATTCATATCATTTTTGTTTTCCCAGTTTTGATTAAAAATCAAAAAGAAAACACACAAATGGACAAAGAAACCAACCTTTCTTTGTTGTTCAAATAGACCTATCATGTAATCCAACAGGCCATTAGTGTAACCTTCCCATTTGTTGACTTTGTGGCCTTTTTGGCATAAAGCCTGAAATGTGGCAAGAACATTCAATGCTCTTTTGGCAAGGAAGTCAAGACACAAGCAGACTACATGTGGGCTACACAAGAAAAAAAATTGGCGCATGCGTGGATGCGCAGTTCATGTGCCAGATTTGATCAGATTTGTATAGATCTGATTCTTTTTCTGTTTTCACTCCAAAGTTCACTATAAAAGGAGAAGGCTAGTAAGAGTTTCAAGTAACAGAAAATTGAGAGCTTAAACATTTGAGAGTTGTGAGTTCTCCTGAGTGATATCAGATATCAATTTGAGTGTACTCAAATCTGTGATTTGAGTGTACTCAAATCTGTGATTTGAGTGTCCTTAGATCTGTGAGTGATACCAGTGAGATATCAGAGTGATCCTATTGGACTGAGTACTTGTGAGGTTTGAAACAATTGTTCTTGTACTCTTTGTTTACTCTAAATAGTGAAAACATCCGATCGTTGTTGTTATGGACGTAGGCAATTGCTGAACCACATAAATTGCTTTGTCTTGTGTGATTGTTCTTTTATTTTTCCACTTGAGTGTGAGTGTCAATATCAATCCAAATTCGATTTCTGGGGTAATTTTGGCAACAAATTGCCATTACCTTGAAGATGACTACAAAAGTAAGGAGTATCATCATGACAAGCATACAGATTAAAACATAAGTCTATAAATGATATTTAGCTAAGGGAAAAAGGAGAAATGAAATGCCTTGGGAGCATGGATAGTTAGTTGGGAATGACATAATCTCTTATCGCAGCAACAATCGAGGGAAAGATTGTTTGGGTTCTTCTTCATACAAATAGCACCAAGAAATAGTAATTACACAATGATCAGATAGACACTAGATATTTTGTTAAGGTTATTTTGGTCAAACAAAAGTTTTTCACTTTTGTTGACATTTAGAATTAGTATAGATATAGATAATATAGATATAGATATAGATTTCTTCATAATTGTTGCTAAATGGATGGATGATTCAATCATTATTTTTCCATGGGATTTATGAAAACATCGCTTGGTATTAATTTAGATAGATTATATATGCGAGTGACTATTTATTGTAAAGCTGGAACTGCAACTTCTTATACTTTAGGTTCACTCAACGCTGAAGAATGGCACACAATCAAAATTGTGTCCTCTTCATGCATTATTGCTCAAGTATGTCACATCGAGCAATAGTGATGAACAGATTCTTATGGTTTTCTTTTTGAAGTAAGATAGAAAAAATCAAATAATTCGATCAACGCGGCAGTGTCATAACACTATTTTCATCTTTGCAGGCGTACATGTGTATGGTGGACCGAGAGCGAGTTCTCTGATAGATATTGCAGAGGCTCATTCACTTCATCATGAATACAGTTCGATGGATTGCACAGTTGAAGTTGTCAATAATGTGCAAGCAGCCATTGATCATATACATAAACATGGAAGGCATGTTGAAATATCTCCATCAAATTTGTGTTGTGTGTAATTTTGTCTAAGATTAGTGACATTGAATCCTTTTGCAGTGCCCATACGGACTGCATTGTTGCAGAAGACTGTGCAGTTGCTGAAGATTTTCTTCATCAAGTTGACAGGTAATTACATTCTGCAATCCAATCAGCTTCTGGTACAAGACTTGCTGTTAATATGAATACAATCAGTTCCCTATATTTCAGGGTTGTATTTTTTTCAATAGCATTTATCTTGTAGTTGAATGCCCCACAAAATAACTGAAGTATGTTTTAACATCAAAACTCTGCGATTGGCCTTGACAGTGCTGCAGTTTTTCACAATGCAAGCACCCGATTTTGTGATGGAGCACGTTTTGGACTTGGGGCAGAGGTATGAGATCTTTCTAATAATTCTGGTATTGAACACCAGCATGCTTGACTTTCTTTCTCTAATTTGCCACTGATGTATGCCTAATAGGTTGGGATAAGTACTAGCCGGATTCACGCTCGAGGTCCTGTAGGAGTTGAAGGACTGTTAACAACAAGATGGTATGTACATTTTTGTTTTATTGTGTATTCTTTGTTTCATGTGGCATCTTGAAATGTCTGACATATTTAATGTGATTACTGCTTATTCTGTTGTTTTACAATCGGGGAGAATAACTAAAGGAATCTTCATTCAGCAACTGCTGATTTTATTACATATTTGCATTCTTAGAAGTTTTGAGATTTCTTATCAATTCTGCTGCTGCAGTTATGATTTGGCTTACATTAATGCAACCTGTGTGAAATTGTGCCAAATAATGAAAACTCAATTGCTTCTTTTGGGTAGTCAAAACAAAAAATTGCCTCCATTGGACCAAAGTAGCAAATGAACAGAAGAATTAACAGTTTGAAAGTATGGGATGTATGTTATATAGTGCATTTCAGAGGGTAATTCTTACAGGTGATAATATACATAGGTTAGTTGATCTATTCCATGTAAGTCGAGTCGACCCTTTGGTGTGAGTTTTTTATTTTTCGCAGAAATCATTCTGTGCTTCCTTGAATCTCCATCTTTTCTGTCTTCAATAGTGTGTAGTACATGTAAAAGTGTGCACGTATATGATTTCTACGGGCAAAACATGATGACAGTTCTTTTTTTCTTTATCACTAAACCTTGTTCTTGAGCTTACAGTTTACTCCATAATTATGTACAGTAGATTTATGGATGTTCATCAATGACCACAAAAAGTGGATTCACTATTATTGATGATTTGCCATCCCTTTAGAATGAGTTGAGCTGATAGATAAATTACTTGTTTGCCTTTTTCATTTCCTCAATAAAATCTACTCAACATAATGTATGACTAATTGTATTGTTATTGACCAAGGCAAACAATTTTCAGGTTTTTGGCTTGAACAAGGGTAGGAGGAGTTTGGTTAGAATGCCGCCTAAAAATTAAGTGATGGATAACTGATATGTTATACTTATGGGAAGGACATATTTTTCATGGCAATGAGAATGACATTCCGCCATGTGTCCTAACCACTCCTTCACTAACCAACAACCACTCATTTAAGACTGTTTAAAAAATCAATTTTGTATCGATCTCCCTTTTCGTAGTTCTCTATCTAACTTCCCATATGGTGGGGTGGGAAATAGAAAAAAGGAGAGGTAGCAGGGAAGTGAGAGGGGAAGGGGAGGGATGCAAATGTCGCTGCTAGTTAGTGATTAATCATCAATGAACAGGACCCTTTTCGGATACAGAGATGGAGCTCTGGTTAAAATGGTTTACTGGTTTACAACGAGACTAATGGCATTGTTAGTATGATTAGAAGCAATCCTTCATCCTTCATCCTTCATCCTAGTGTGACCCTTACCTAAGGTGTGTTTGGCAGCTGCATTTTCCCTAGAAGTTCAAATTTAGGAAGCTTGTATGCACCTGTAAAGTGAATGCACTCTGATATTATGGATGCCTGAATGATATGCAGTGAAAATTTCATTGCTGCTTAGTGTTGTTGGCTTCATCTGTATCTGTTGAACAGTGTGTTTTGCTGGTTATTTAGTTCTGTTGATTGAAATCTTTGTATTCTCTTTTCTATTCATCAGTATGCTTTCTAACTTTTAGCTCAAAGCCATGAGATAAATGGTTTGGCAAAGATCATACACGTATATTGTGCCAAAGATTATTTTGTAATTATTTTATTTCACTTTGGTTTGATTTTTGTTTAGCTAGGCAAATGATATAAGATCTTTATTTTTGACCCTTGCAATTGCTTTTTTTTTTTTTGTTGTGCATGCAGGATTCTCCGAGGCAGTGGACAGGTGGTTGAGGGTGATAAAGGGGTGGTTTACAGCCACGAGACCCTTGCTCCCAAGTCATAGTTACATAGCAAAAGACTTAGTTTAGGACAGCCCCTCTTGTCCATCACAGTTTTGTTGTTACCTATTCATGCCAACAATTGTTTCGGACCAGTATCTGTTGAGAATCTAACTTAAGTAGGGCTGACGGACTGAGTTTAAACAATTTTTTAGACTCGTTTTTTATTTGTTCGAACTCGTAAAGTTCGACTCGTTTACATGAAAAATAATCGAATGACTTGGATTTAGCTTGAGTTAAGGCTGTATTCATTTTCTAAACAAATTAAGTTTGAATAATTTTTTAGACTCGTTTAAAAAAACGGGTTCGACAAGTTCGGGTTCAAACTCATGCTCACAAAGTTCGAACTCAATTAACACCCAAAATTAAAACGCAAGTACAAGTATGAAATGGAGTGCATTCATCAATTCTATGAAAAACTGAATGATGTACTGTGCTTCTCAGTTGAAAAAGTAGTGGAAAGTAATGAAGAGGTGGAAGGTAACATACAAAAAAAATAAACTGAAAAAGTTTTGACTCAATGAGTTTCACCATGGGCTCCATTTGATTAAAAAGAAATTAACTATGAAAAGTGAAAATAGTAAAAAGTAAAGTGAAAAAAAATATAAAAGAAAAAATATTTTTTTAGTGTTTGATTAGAATAAAAAATTTGTTAGAAAAATATAAAAGCGGTTGTTTGCAAGAAAATTTAGGTGTTGTGGAAAAAAAAAATCTTGAGAAACCGTATTTTTAATCTAATCAAACGTATGAAAAATTACTTTTTTTTTTTACCCTTTTCGTGCACTTACTTGCTAAACAAACAGAGCCCACAAAAATGAGATATTGAGTCATACCTTAACGCAAAAATGTTCGAACAAGGTTTTATTACCTGAGTTTGAGTTGTAACTCGGCCTTTTGAGTTTTGGGTTTTATTCTTTGGTTAGGAAGTGAAAAAATTATTTCGGTATCGCAAAAGCTATGTGGCAATCAACACTGTTGGAATGTTTCCATAACCCAAAAGAACAACAAAACAACCGACAAAGTTTAAATAAAGGGTTAGGCTATGTTATCTAAAAAAAATTTGGTAGTGTCTCTAAATTTATTATTTTAATAGATTTTTTTATAATTTTTGTGGATTATTTATAATTAAAAATTTATCACTTTTGTAGATAATTTATCACATTTATGAGTTTTTTACCACATTTATAGGTACTTTTATCACTGTTATGAGTGTGTTTTATCATTATTGTGATAATTATTTTTACTATTTTTTTTCGGTACAAAAAAAATTACCATTTTTTGTTGTTGATTTATCATATTTGTGGGTGATTTCATCACTTTTCACTATATCACAACAGTAATAAAAAGTTTACAAATGTGATAAAAGTCGAGAGGGTACCAAAATTATATATATTTTTTTGATACCATAGACAACTCCTTAAATAAAGTAAAACCTGGCAAAATAGTACAGATTTTGCCCAATCAATGGGTCCACTAATGTATTTATTCTCTTTATCTTGCTTTGATTTTTGGAGTGAGAGTGATTGTACTCTGCAAATAGCTGCTCCAAATTTGCCTCTTCTGCTCTGCATATTTTCTTTTCAAAATTGAAACACTCCAATTTGAGAGAGAGAGAGAGAGAGCAAATGGTGGGCATATGATGAGTTTGTAGTTTGATAAAAAGCAATTAGAACTAGATGTGATCTCAAATATCACCATCCCATAGTTCTTCCAGACTTTTATAAGGGCTTCCACTTTCATGGACAGCAAAATCCCCTCGGAGGAGCCTTTGCTGCATGCATCAGCAAGATTTGTAAACTGATTAGGCAAGGTGCGTAAAGGCCTTTTTTCTAAACATGTTTTTACATTGAAAAGCGTAGACTTAAACCACGTGTGGATGGTACAACAACAAACTAGAAAAAAAAAAACTTCAAAAACAACAATAAACTGATAATATAGATTTGAAAATCCAGAAATTTTACCTGGTGGATACCATCAAACTTTGAGAAGAGGTCTGGAGGGATAAACCAGTCAAATATATTGAGATTCGCCTTGATCCTGGGCTCATTTACACTCTTTGGAAGAACACTGTGGCCACTTTGAATACCCCATCGGAGAGCTATCTGTGCAGGTGACTTGTTTAGCATCTCAGCAATCTCAGTTAGTATTGGTTCCTTCAAGATTTCACCTTTTACCCAAGACCCTGGAGATCCTAGAGGAGAGTATGCCTACCCAAAAGAAAGGAAAAAGGAAAAAAATAAACAATTTTTTACCTTACTCTCTCGTGGAAATCTCAATATTCACATTATGCCAAGTATCAAATAAACATAGTGCCATTAGCCATACACCCCCCCCCCCCCCCCCTCCCTCTCGTTCTCCCAAAACAAAAGAAAAAAACCAACCAATTTTGGTATGCTCAATTATTACCTTGGGATGTGAGTGATTTCATTACTATTGTGTTGTTTATATTATATTTTCCTCGGATAAAGAATGTTTCTATAGCAGTGTGTTTGGTAAGAAGAAAAATGAATGAATGGAAAATGAGCGAATGAAAATTGGTATTTTCTTCTGTTTGGTATAAAAGGAACAAAAATAGAGAAAGAAAAATAGGTGGACAGCGAATCAGGCCTGCCCACCATTTTTATCAACTGAAAGGAATAAATAAAGCCTGATGATTACAAAGGATAAATTCATTTTTATGTCCTCGCAGCCTCCATTTTTTCAAAGGAGTAACAAAACGTGGGCCCACATTATTTAATTTCTTAAATTCAAGCAAAACAATAAACATGGGTCGACCAATGGGTCACAAGTCGGGTTATGGGTCATTTTGTGTGTGTTTTGGTGTGTGTATTCTTTGGTATATTAGTGTGTGTATTTTTTTGTATATTAGTATATTTATTTAATTTTGTTGTTTGAGTTATTTAATAGAAAAATAAATACTCAATCTAATGGGTATCCATTTATAATCTATATTAACCTGTTTAATTAAAATAAATTATATTATTTAATCCATTTAAAACCTATATTAGTTAATATAGGTATTCAACCTATTTATTTATAGATAAGTTGAGTGAATTAATAGGTAATGAGTTAAGTTTATCATCTCTAAACGTGGGTAAACTAGGGTCTCATTTGTGAGGGTATTTTATTTCTTAGACCATGTATTGTGTAGTGCCTGGCATCTCTAAGTAAGAGCAAGCATAGGACAGGTACTAAACTTTATTGTATACCTATATGTTTTTCACAAAACAATTCTACTTTCTGAAAACAAAAAATCAAATATTACCGATAGATGAACACCAGTGGATTTGCAGAGGTTGTGAAGGGCCGGTTGCTGCCAGACAGGGTGGCTTTCCACCTGATTAACTGCCGGAGAAACTTTGGCAAATGTGAGAAGGTCTTGCAGCTTCTTTGTGGAGAAATTGCTCACACCAATTGCTCGAGCCTGACCAGAAGCATACAAGCCCTCCATTGCAGCCCATGTTTCTGGAAGACATAGAGGGGTAAAGAGTTCAGGGTCCCATCCTTTTGAACCGGGCTTTGTCCGAATTGGCCAATGAATCTGTAACACAACCACATATTCAAAAACAACAGTTGTTACTTCATTGTCGTGATATCACGTGCCAAACTATCAGTATTAATGTGATATCACCGTTATATTGAATATTTGTAAGTTTATCGCAGACATACAAGATAGAGATCAATGTAGTCAAGTTGCAGGTCTTCTAAACTCTTGGTCAGGGCCTTTGAGACGTCCTCGGGCGCATGGTCACTACTCCTGTGTAGATAAAGTTGTAGGAAGTTAAGAAGTTTGCCTTGTTTATTTTGTATCTCAAAAACTGTTTTTCTGTTTTTAAAAATAGTTTCCGAAAGAAAAGTTATTAGCCAACTGTTTTTTGTTTTTGTTTTTTGAAAACTGAGTACAAAAAGTGGATAGATTTAGAGAACAAGTTAGATTTTTTTTGTTTGTTTTTGGAAACAACCTTTCAAGAATTTAGATAACACTGTTTTTTTTTTTTTTTTTACCATACTTCCACCACACTTCCACCACCACATCCACCATCACCACCACCACCACTACATTTCTGTTTTTATTGTTTTTATGTTACTGTCCAAACAAATTTTACTATTTTATATTCGTAGAATTGTTTTTAGAATCATATATTCAAACAAGTTCTGCGATGAAGAAAAATACCGAAATAATTTTCTAAAACCCTTCTAAAAAATAGTTTTCAGATACTAAAAAAGATTTTGATCCAACATTTACGTAAACTTTTGAGACTTCAGAGACTCTCTCATGGAAACTTTTAAGAACAAAAACAGAAATAATGTCGAAGTACATGTATAATCTAAAAGTTACCACAGCTTAGATGTGATAAAAAGCTCATCACGCTTCACTATCCCAGTTGAAAATAGTTCCTTCAGAGCAACACCTATCTGCAGGGTTCCAGCATAGCAAATCAAGTTTTTTTTTTTTATATATGAACAACTAAAAAGCATTTTGAATTCAACCAAGATGCTGCAATGTATTGAAATTTTTTTAAAAAACTATTGATTGGATTGTGGATCTGCTGCTCATCTTCTTCCCACTCGCCCTCCTTCAAAGCTTTCAGACTCCAGTTCCGAGATCTCAAGATAACATGGGCCCTTGTGTTGTATACTTGCATGAGAACATCACAAAAGGACAATGGTTGATTATCCTCTTCCTTTTATTGCTTCCATGGTCCGAAGATAGCTCACAGAGGTCGCCATTCCTTAGTCCCCCATCGGTTGTTAGGCATTTGTCACTTCTTTTATTTCATTTTATATTCTATGAATTCTTTAATATATAACAATCAAATCTTTGTCAAAAAGCCCCGACTTGAAAGAAATTGAACGAAAAAAAAAAGAAAAAAGTACCTCCTTTTCGTTAGCATACACTCGAGCACAATCAATATGCCTGTAACCAGCCTGCACAATTTGGCCAAAAATAACCAAATTTTTAACTTTTAGGATTAGCTAGGAAAGATAATAGTGACAGATCTTTAAAAGCTGTTAGTCGATTCTATATTGTGTCATGTCATTTGGGATCTATGTTTTCACACAGTCGATCCTAAGTCTCCGTGAAGGAAGAGAGTTACATAATGTAACTAAATCCTAATGTAAAAATTTAAAAGATCAGACAGTGAACATGAGTCCTAAGAATATATGATCAGCCAAAAAATTACCAAACTGTTTCTATTTTTCTGTCATTTTGGGTTTATAGGATACTAAAGAGCAATAAAAGCTTCAATGGAGGAACAGAACCTTGACGGCTGTGATGACAGCTTCACCGACTACACCCGGAGGCGCCTTCCAAGTTCCCAGGCCAACCGCCGGAATCTTGGCTCCGGTATTAAGATCAAAACTTAAAGGTTCACATTTAGTTTCCTTATCCATAATCAATGGAGGGTTGTTCAAAGATTGCAGAATGATTTAGTTACGAGAATATGATATCACCTTTGTCACTGTTGGTTCTGCATGTGTATATCAATGTTAGGTGTTTGAGAGAGAGAGGGTTTTTGGAACCACTTCAATGCCGATTCATTTGCTTGAGACTCGGGCTGTTGGTGACCGTTTCATGTCCAAATTTGTAAGGCAATGACGTTCGGTTGTGAATGATGTATGCTTGTGTGTGTCTCGGGGTTTATGGCAGAAAAGTAGGATCTTTGTATGGATTTGTTAGATAACTATGACATGTTTTACACCCTTAGTAACAATTTAGAAGGTTCACTTACACACAAAAAAAAAAGAAGAAAATAATAATTTAGAAGGTTCACAATGGAAAGCTACACCCATCTGCAGAGTTCCAACATAGCAAATCAAATTTTCAATGTAAACTTTTCGTTTGCTTTCCACGCAAGGAAACGAAACGAAATTTAAAACCATGATGGGCACTTTCCTTGTGCTTTTTTTTTTTCTTTCTTTTTTTGAAATTCTGATTAGTAGAATAGCAAAAGGAGTCAACAAAAAAAAAAAAACCAAAAATAATGACCACCAAATTCGATCTTTCGATCACCCATTTTTGAAAAATCATTTTTGGAGGCTTCTACCTTACACTCAGAAGATTGGATTGCCTGAAGTCTTATATACTATGTTGTGTTGTGTTTTTATTCCCCCCAATTCCTTCACCTGTATTCGTTGAATGGGAAATGTCAATTGTCTTCATCTAATGGCAAATGTCAATTGTCTTCATCTAATGGCAAATGTCTTCATCAAAAATAACTTCAAATGTCGATGATGGCACTGAGTTGCAGTCGACGCTAGATCTTTCACCAAAACTCTTGGCGACGAATGACCTCAACCTCCTCTAGCAGAAGCAATCAATCCAAGCTTCTATTTTTCTACCAAATTCAGCAAAACTCAACTCCAAAACATATCATGATATCAACTTATCAATCTACATCGCCGACAGTAAATGGGGTTCTTTTCATTACACTAATGAATGGCATGGCGAACAAAATTAATGCGTGTAATACTTGCCCCCTAAAAATTAATGTAGATAGTTTTAATCAGAAAGAGGACATGTGCCGAACTTATGCTTCCTACACTCCTCCAACCAAACAGCAAAAGTTGTTCCTAACTTTGTTGGAAAATGTTAGTTTTCCACAAACTTCTTGATGTTTCTCAGCCACCGTAAGTACTCTTTGCTGTCTTTGCTGATCATGTACCCAAGCAAAAAGCTGGCCGTGTTGGGTTTGAGACCCCTGACCGCAAGGTATTTGTGGAAAGCCCTCTGCAAGTTTTCATCCAAATCTCTGGGAACAATTAAACGCATCTCAGAAAACAAATGAAACAATGATAACGAAATGTGTAATCTTCAGAAACATTATTGATAGGAGCTTACGAGAATTCAGGTCCTTCATATGCAAGTGGAGAACATCCCGGCTCCTTAATTGACAAGCTATTAATTGCAATCCTATCTGGAAAAGCCCCGGCATCAAACTGCAAACAAAATCCATTTCTTTTTGAAACACTCACAAGCAATGCAATGTTAGATTCCACATTACTTTCCTTCTCCTCCTCATTATCATCACCATCTGCGACATCATAATTAATATTGTCGTTTTCATCGACTATCTCTTCATTTCCTGTTTTATGCAAGTCAATTTCGATTTTGATGAGTTCATCTTGGTATTCCCTTTTAAGTATAACAATACTTTCTCCGGGGGTGTCCTGGATCTCAAAAGGAAAGCTATCTGGGATCTCTACGACCTACATGAAAAACAATGGCAGGAAAAACCAAGAAATTTACCAGATTACTAACTTGCTAGCAAATGTTAAAAATGATAGAATCACAATGTATGGAATTTAGAATATCATAACTGTCCATAAGATAGTTAACAGATCCTCTCAAGCTTATAATTTATGAAGGTTCAACATTTCTATAGACAAAATCGTACATAAGATACATAATATTTGATTAATAAAATTAAAAAAAAACATTAAATACGAAGAGCCACACACTTTGTGATACTTTGCATATAATTTGTCAATGGATGCAAACATGAGGCTGAATACATCAAAAGAGGAACCCAATAAGTGTAACATGCTTAACGTTTCAAAAGCAGGTGGTTTTCATAATTTGGTATCAGCAACAACACTAGTTAAATGGGTGCCTTGGGATTGAAGAAGAAGTTCATGACAAGGTCTGTGGGACAACAACAGCGGTAAACAGCTACAAAAGATTGCAAAGACAAGGTGACTATTCACCTAATATGACTAGGACTACAAAAGCTCGAGAAGAGGCTTGCCTAAAATGCACATAGATGCCCGATAGAGCAGAATGTGCATGTATCGATGTAGTGAATTGGAGACAACCATATATCGACTATCTCACAGAAGGAACTTTACCGGAAGTGAACAAGCTAAAGACCATGGCCAAGGTACTATTTGAATGTAAAATCTAAAATCCAAGTGAGTTTAGATGAAGATATAACACTCCTCCTATCATTCCAAATCCTCACATAACATTTGAGAGCTATGTCGCCTACCCTCCATACCTTTCATTGAATTTGAATTTTGCACTGCCAAGAACTTTGGCACTGCATGAGACCAAACCACCACATGATTCACAAAATTAAAATGACTGATAAGAAACGAAGAAAATAACTACAAAATACTAAAAAATATATATAAAATCAAACAAGAAATTGGCTTATAGGTTTTCAGTTATAATTTATAAAACCCAATAATTATAAATTATTTTATTAAAAAAACATTTTTTATTTCACTTTCTCTACCCCTGTTCTATCAGCAACCAAATAAAGCACAAAGCTTTTCTTACTACTTTTCCCTTACTTCCCTTTTTTTTTGGGGGGAAAATTTTCCTCAGCTTTCTTGGTAATCAAACATAAATTGAGCAAAACAACTCACGCAATCATGAAGGTCCGATTCCTGGGCGCATTGGATTTCAGAGTCGATGATTTGAATAAGATTCTCATCTGGAGAAGAACACAGTTTCGCAGCAAAAAAGGCCGTAGAATAGTGGATTGATGGAGCTAAGCTCCTTCGAGACAGCTCGTGAAACAGCCTGCAATTTCCAACGCCAAGAGCGGTGCTGATTGGTTCATACAGAGTTCTTGGAGATCCAACGGATCGGACTGCGAGAGGGACAATGGTGGAAGACGCTCTGCGAAGAATGGAATAGAACGCCATTGTAGTGTCGAAGATACGAGTTCTGAGGTTAGAGCAAGCAATTGGGGGTTTAGAGAGGGCTTTGAGTCTTTTCCTTTTCTTTTCTTTTTTTGTTTTGAACTGAGGGTTTTGATATAAGATCCAGGGCAAATTTCACTTTTTACCCCTAAGGATACCATTTTTCTCACTTTATGCATGTCGCACATTGCACCCTTAATCTAACATAATTGTTGCATGTGCACCTGCCGTTGAATATGTTTCTATTTTCGTCAAACTCCTACTCGCATGTGAGAAGCATGTGTTTCCTCTAAACAAAATGGTAAAATGACACCTTAAACCTTTTTTATATTATGCATGAATGGATAGATAACTTTTAGGGTTGGTCATTAGGGTTGGGAAAGAGAGGGTCAATTGCACACATGGAGGTGTGAAGCCATCACCTTTAACCTTTACAAAACCATCATCACCATGGTGAATCGGCCAAAAAATTCCCTCCCAAAAGGTAGTCGTTTCTTAATTTCAATCCACTTAGATCCTGGGCAAGTCTAAACAAAGAGGTTTTTTTATAAATTCAAACCCCACAACTACTCCACTATCAACATTATAATATAAGCATAAAACATCACAACCAAATAAACCGTTACCATAATAATGCACATGATGACCAATGCCCAGATTGTAGTTCCCTTATCTCAAAACCCAAGTCATTTCTTCTCTAATAAAACTGTGAGGCACCAATTTCATGAAGCACCGATGCGAAGAAAGAGTAATGACTAGGGAGATGATGGTTTTGGAAAGGTTAAAGTTGATGGTTTCACACCTTCACACGTCTGACTGACTCTCTCTCTCCCAACCTTAATGGCCAACCCTAAATCGTTTAAAAAGACATCTATGCACTCACAAGAAAATCACATGCAGAAGGTCTGAGGTGGAGTTTTAACATTTTGTCCAAAGAAAAGAACTTGCTTCTCACATGCGGGTGGGAGTTTACAGAAATAGAAATTGAATTTGACGAAAAGTGCATTGCAACAAGTATGTTAGATTGAAGGTACAATGTGGAATAATTAATCTTTTAGGCAGTGAAGTGGGAAAAGTGGTGTCTCCTGAGGTGGAAAGTGAGATTTGTCCCAAGATTAAATGGGTTTTTTTTTGTTAGGTGTTTTTATCAGCTGAGGAAAAGTGAAACTAATATACAAAAACAAATGTAAATGAAAAAGAAAATGGACTTTCTTAACAAAACAATTTATCAGAAAATTATAGGAAAACTCTATTTAATTACCTATACTAGCCTAATTGATTTTACGTGCAAAGGAGATATCTTGAAGTCACAGGAAATGAAATATATACAACACATGCATGTCTTTCCTGTTTTATAGGTGTACTGTTCATCATATAAATGAGAAACATAAAATTTTGGTTGGCAACAAGATTCAAAATAAAATTGTTTAACGATGAATACGCACCGGATCTCCATCTCACCTTAACAATCTATTAGAGATAACTCATGCCTGAAAGTATAGTACAATGTAAATAATTTTGAGAGAGATATTAATAACCATTAGATAAATCTATTGACAACCGTCAGATGAATTTATTAAAATTTATCTTATTTTATATTATAAATTGATTCTCATGCTATTGGACTTTAACATTATAAAAAACTACCCATTAAAATGTTAAACTATTTCCCAGAAAAAAAAATATTAAAGTAGTTACATTAATAATAGTTGTTAAAGTGGTTACATCGATAGAGAAAAATTGGTACATGAAAAATAGTTACACGGATAATTTTAAATTTTGAAGTGTTTGACACCACATCATGTGGCCCAAATCTTGTGACCACATAATTAGATAATTTTAATTTCAAAGGTAGTTCAAGTGATAATAAGAAAGAATTACAAACTCAAATTTAAATTTTGGCAACCTTTAGAACCAGACCATGAATAATTTATCCCTCATAAATACCCTAACTCCAGCATGTATGCCCTGTTTTTAATAAAACCGGAGAGGGTAAGCTGGCCTGAACACCCTTGGCCATTGAACCAAAAAAAAAAATTAGACAATTTCAGCCATAATTTTTTTTTTCGGCAAGTAAAGAAGATATCAAAGAAGCCGTAATTTAAGAGAACATGCATAGAGAAAAGAAGGAAGGTAATAACCTGTCATTCCAGGTAAACATAAACAATCATGGAAGGCTCATGGATGCATCACCACAGTTAACACAAAAAGTGCTGAAAAGACAATACTTCTCAAACAAAACCCTTAGATCCTGACACCAAAATGAAGTTTTGGCTTTTACCTTAATCTTCAACCCTGGCTTCAAACTGCTGGATTCATCGCCGTATGAAAATCAAATGTTGGAACAAGTAATACAATAGTAAGTTTCGAGATAATCTTCACATGACAATCTCTGGCTTCAAAATGCTGGATTTTATCTCCTTATGGGGCAGGACAACACCTCCGTTGCAGTAAACTTCGTCACCCAAATGAACATCTTCTCCTAAAATGGTCATGTTCTCTATCCGAGCCCACCTCCCAACAGTGGAGTGCCAACCGATGATGCTACTTGAAATGCAAGCATGCTTCTTAATGCGAACTCCACGCATTACAGTACATTGCGAGAGTCTAACCCCCGACTCAACAACACATCCAGGACCTATGGCCACGTCTGGACCTATGAGACATCCATCTCCAATTACAGCAGTCTCATCTACCAAAACATTTCCGACAATGTGAGAACCAAAAGCCAATCTGGGAGAGGAATTTTTCTGCAAGGAATCCAAGTAGAGTCTCAAGCCTGTAATATAATCCCTTGGCTGCCCAATATCCATCCAAAATCCAGGTAGGACCATCGCATAGAGCTTCTTCTCTGCTGCAATACTGGGGAAGACCTCTTTTTCAATTGAGGTGGGTCTCAATTCAATCCGACCTAAAACAGAAGGGTTCAACAAGTAGATTCCAGCATTGATCTTGTTACCCACAAACACTTTAGGTTTTTCGACAAACTTGTCAACTATCCCCGTCATTTCTTCCATAACAACCACACCATATTTTGATGGCTCATCAACCTAGAGGAAATGGTCCACAACCTGTTTATTAGATTAGCTTTTCATCATGTATATTTTTATAGTCGTTTATATATGTTCAACTGTAGTGAAAGGGTCGCTTCAGGAATTTTTAATCCACTTACTTTTGTAACCATAATGGAAGCCTCACCTCCATGAGATTTGTGGAATTCAATCATTTCTTTCAATGGGTAGTTGCATATAACATCGCTGTTTAGAACAAAGAAGGGCTCACCAGAGTCATCAGTCAACTTATCCCTAGCCAAAGCCAGTGGACCTGCTGTCCCAAGTGGCTCAGTCTCTTGTGAGCAGGTAATCTTGATATCCAACTTTATTTCAAATTCTTTCAAGAAATTCAACATAATCTAAGCAAAAACACAGGTTAAATTCAAACAGCTACCCCAATCTTTTATTGTACCATGTTGCAACTAAGTATTTTGTTGAAATTACTGGGAACAGGGGTCTGTCTATTTTACCTCTGGTTGGTAGTTGATGGCCAAAACTACTTCAGTCACCCCTACAGCTTTCAGGGCTTCTATCTGATCATTAATCAAAATTTACAACCAAAGCATAGGTTAAAATAGTTAGTATTGGAAGGAATATAATTAAATACAAAGTTCACAACTATCATATTGATTTTCTGCTTTAGTACAAAGTCAAATTGTAGGAACAACTCTGACTTGAGAGTTCCACTGGAAATAAAACTTAGACAAAGTGATAAAGTTAGAACCTGGTGAAAATACTTTTGGATGCAAAGTTGTGAAGGAACGTAACATAAATCATTCTTTTGAATGGATTTGATTTTTGTGACAGCAATTAAACTTTGACAGCATAACAGAAATTTAGGAAAAGTCATGCCATGAATTTAGAATAGAACTTGCCTAAAATGGATCTGGTGTGCATATATAGAACAAAAGGAATCTGGTGTCCAATAAAAAAGAATTCAAAAATCCAATATAAGTGAGTTCTGCGTGAGAACAGGGTAATATCTACTAAAATTGAAGCAAGGGCAAACTTAAAACTAGTGAAATAAATTAAGTTTGGACAATGAACGAGACGTTTTTGGAGGAGGACCTGGTGCAGAATCATGGGTTTGTTAGCAAATTCGACCAGTGGCTTTGGCATACTGAGGGTCAATGGCCTCAGTCGTGTTCCAAACCCTCCAACAAGAATTAACGCTTTCATGGCAATGATTCAGACACCTTCCTGCATAAAAAATCATCAAATTCAGATTGTTGGCATTGCAAAATTTTAAACAAAATGTTAAAGTTCTACTGCATGGGAATCATTAAGAGTTCAATCACCAGCTGTTCCATGGCATCATCTTGTATGGTTTAAAAATGCAATACCAAGATGGAGCTTTATACTCTGGTTAGTAATTAGAGGAAGGCAGAACTAAAGATAGAATGAAATTCTACTGTGACCAAATTGATGAAATGTGCACTATATGCAAAGATGCACCTAAGAGTCATGATCATCTATTTTCCCAGTCCAGCTATTCACATCGTATATGGGCTTCTGTTATGAACTTAACCACACCTTCATTTTAAATTACACAATGGAATTCTCTAATGGAGAAAGCTGAAACTGAGTGGAAGGGTAAAACAATACAAAGAATTATCTACCGACTATGTCTCTCAACAAGTGTCTATTACATATGGCAGCAGAGGAACTGTAGAATCTATTGCAATACTTTTAAAGGAGCTGAGGTGGTGGTGGTGAAAGAAATATGAGACACAGTTAGAGGAAGATTGTTCTCCAAGAGTTTCAAAAATTCTCTTAATCATAGAGATATAGTCAGGGCATGGACTCTCCCTGATAATTTTTGAAGGTCTGAATATATTGCCCAAACTTAGTGACTGATGGAAGCTTATACTGGTGTTAATCCTTGTTGGTAGTTTGTAGCTGATATGTCCATGTTTGGATGCTGCCAGGTGGTTTTGGAATACTGCACGTGTGTTTTAAGAAGGTTGTATTTCCTTTAGCTCATAAGTAAATGAGAATTGAGTTTGTTCAAGACTCATTCACTTTATACTAAAGGGGTTGTTCCATGTTTTCCCCTTGGATGTAAAGCTTCATTCCTATTAATAAAAATTCAGTTTCTTTACCCAAAAAAAAAAAAATTAAACAAAATGACAGAAGAAGGGCAAAAATATCTAAGATTTCTCAACCCTTTTTTTTTCTTGCCTCACAATAAATTGTGCCAGTGATTTTACAGAACTCGATTGATGTTTGTTGATCTAATGGTGACGAAATACAGCAGGATAAAACTGGACAAGTGCAAATTCCTAAATAAACTAGAAATGAATTCACAAACAGAAGGTAGAGCAAGAAAATCACAGTGGATACAAACTGGAATTGATAAAGATGGCAGGCCTTGAAACTGGAAACCTGCAGAGGGGGACAAGATGGATGCTTCGCTGAAGGAAGACCAGAAAAAACTAGGTAGTGTATTTGTGGTTTCCACTAATCAATCCATCTTCAATTTTGTCCTAAGAAATTCACTGAAGGCACCATTAAGGAACTGAAATACAATAATAGATTAACCACCACAACAATGTACCAATTGGAATTATTTTGCGTCCTCATCGATTCCATTATGTCAAGTTTATATGTAGCAAATGAATGAACTGAACATTAATTACCTTTTGACCAATTGAAGAAAAGGGTAGCCAATAGAACGTTATTATAGAAGAGACAGATACAAATAAGCTTTGTCTGGATTACAAGACTCAACCAAGACAGTTTATATATATATGCATCAATAACGTCAGGCCGTCACATACGAAACAAAGTCAAACAAATCAAATAGATAACAAAACCGAATCCATCCATTATAAATTTGCCTATCACAGATCAGGGATTGCATAAAAGAAAAGAAAGCTTAAAGACATCGATTGAAGAAAAGTGATTTTATATAAAAATAAATCTAATGAGAAAAAAACACAAATCAATGGCAGAAAGGGATGTGTGTGAGATTGTTACAGTGTGCGATGAAGGCGGAAAGGAGAATCGGCGTCAACTACTTGGAGCGCGATTCGAATCGCTGACGGAGGTGACCTTTGGGTTTCTCCGGCAGCTGTAGCTTACGGTGCACGGCCTCGTGCCTAACACTGGAGATTAGCAGTTTAGCACTCATCGCGGGCATGATACCCGAATTATTCTCAAGCAGCTGGTTGGTTTAGTATTTCTTTATTCATATTATATTTTATTCTATTTTCTATTTTTTTTTTCGAAAAAAAACTAATTATAGTTTTGGTGGTTCTTATATTTAGTTTTAAAGATATCTCTTTTATTCTTTTTTCTAACATGATTGTTTATGCTGAATTTAAACCAGAGACATCGTACATCAAGTAAATCATCGATTTATCTTTTGATTGATCCTTTTGATAATTGATATTTACAATCAATACGCGATGATCATTTATTTTTAGAATTCAATTTTTGTTAGTTAGTAAAAAAGTTCATTAAATAGTTTTTGATAATTAGTTTTTTTAAAGTTAAAATTACAATTAAGCCCTCCTTAAAATTTTTTTAATGAGATCACTTAACTTTATTTGAGAATAAGTTATATTTTAAATTTTTAGTAAATAGTTAAATTCAAATTTTTTTAATATCACTGAAATACCCTTCTTATGACATTGAAAACAATCTTCAACCTTAAATCACTTTCTTAAACAATTATTGTTTGATTTACTTACCTAAATAGTTATCGCTTGATTCACGCTCAATTGAAATTTAATAATAAATTTTTTTTTCATAAAATTAAAGTTAAAATTCAAATTTCACATCAACACCGCTTATTTTCTTTTCTCTTGTTCGTCAACGTCTTCTTTACAAAAACATACAGACGGAGGCCTTTTTATGGTAGCATCAATCAATGCCGTTTCCATTGTTGTTCGTATTTGTTATTTCTGCACCTTTTGATCTATTGGCTCGTGGGAGTCCAAGAACGCCAAGGTCACCAATGGAGGAAGAAGAGAGAGCCATTGCAGAGAAGCTTGAGAAAATCCAGATATTCTTTTGGGATGGCCCGTTGGGAAGTCTAAGCTTGAGAATATCAACCCGTGGCAAACTTCGGCCCAAAAATCTAGACTTGGGTGGCCCAGCCCAACTTCTTGTGTCGATCCTCAACCGAAGCCAACACAGCCGAGGAGTTTTCCACGCAGAAGTTTTTTTGTTAATATTCATTGAATTTTTTTTTTTTTGTGGAGATTTATACCAATTATTATCTTGATTTTATTGATTGTCACCGTGACTTGAACTGAGCATATTCATAAGAAACAACTCAAACAAGGGTGGTTGGTCCCAAGAGGTGTGAAAAATAATTAAATCTTAGATTCTTGAGTTACTAAAAATCAAACTCAGTCATTGAAATACTCCTAAAAGTTGAGAAATAAATTTTAAAGTGCGATAAATTCACCAAAACACCGTACTATATTTATTCTCAATAGTTGTAAGGCCATTTTGACCAGCATACACAAATTTTTCTTACACAATACCCCCTAGTATTTACACAAATCTATCTTCAATTATTATTATTATTACATTTGACATTTCATAATAACAACACACAAAGTGTGTGGTCCCTTTGGTTATCCACACACTCATGACACCAACTAAAAACCCATTATAAAGAAAATTATAAAGATTCAAAGCCCGCCATATTTGACAAACTTGATTAATTTACATGCCTTTGGCTTTCCTTGGGCACGTAACTTTGGTATCATGATCATTATGATCATCATGCGACAACACGACGAGTAGCCAAATGACGTCCCGGGCCCGGCGACTGAGCTCCGGCTGATACAATTCTTCTGGTGGCGGAGGTAGTTGGTGAAGACGTGGAGAAGCCATAATCCGATCGGAAAAGTTGGATATCCGACGCTTGGAACCGTCCTGAATCTCCCGGAAGTCTCATGTACGAAGCAGAAGATGATTCAGTAAGCCATGACCCTATGAGGCCACGTCCACCATTCTTGTAGTATATCACGGCTCTATAAACGAATGGTATAAGACCCTCCATTTGTTTTGTGTATGTTGGGGAGAGAGAGAGAGAGAGAGAGAGAGAGAGAGAGAGAGAGAGAGAGAGAGAGAGAGAGAGTTGTTGTGTGGACTTCCAATGGGGGAAAGAAGGTGGTGGTGGGATTGATTTAAAAGAGAGGGGATAGAGGGAGGGGTGGTGACGTGGCGTAATGGGTTGGAGTCCAGCTGTTTAAGTTAAGCCAAGCTGAGATTGAGGAAGTGGCTTCAAGGCTTAAACCGGACGAAGACCTTGAAACATACTTGAAAGCTATATCCAAACTACGTTCCATTGCATCTCACCAAATCTCACTAGAATATTTGAGATGATTATTGGTTATAAAAGGAGCAATGCTAGGTATACTTAAAAAGTAAACTTAAAAACTAGACTTGATAATTTCAACTATTGATTTCACTGTACGTCCAGCATTTATTGGAACTCACTACCTATTCAATAGTTGAGATTATCAAGTTTAATTTTTAAGTCCATCTAACATTACTCTTATAAAAGTATGTAAAGAAGGGGATAGAACTGGTGTGTGGAAAATAGGATTGGCGGCTTATATGAATTCACTACAAAATTTAGGATATTTTTAGATAAGTTTTTTTGCGAGGATAACGTTCATCGTTACAAAAAAAACTTGTTTTTTTTAAAATTTTTGTGGCAATAGTGCTATCATAAAAAAATTTATTTACTACATCAAATACTATTTGTGACAGTCATTGCCACCACAAATATTTTTTGAAACTCCACTTTTTATGATAAGATATGTCGTTACAATACTTTGCTGTAATAAGTAGAATTTCAAAAGGGTGACATTCTGTTTTAAATAATATTTAAGGCAGCAAATAAACCTTTATGACAGCATTATGTCATAAAAAAACTTTTTTTTTCCCTCTAAAACACGTTTTTTTGTAACGATGAACACAGCCCAACAAAAAACTTATTTCAAAAGACCCTAATTCTTGTAGTGATTTGAAATCTCACTGGCTCATTTTTTCTTAATGATAGACTATGTACTCTACGTAATTGAACTTCTAACTGTTGAATGTTGTGATTTGAAATCTGACTGGCTCATTTTTTCTTAATGATAGACTATGTACTCTACGTTATTGAACTTCTAACTGATGAACGGTAAGATAATCTAAATTGGTTTAATATAGTTTTTATTTTCAACGGTATTATAATATTTTATCAGATTGCCAAACTTTTCTTCTTTCCGAAGTTGAACACTTAGTTTTTTATTGATGGTTAGGTAATATAAGTTATTAAGATAAGGTCTGTGAAGTTAGGTAGCGTATGCAGCAAGCGACACATTTAGATGTAGGATACAGGATTGCATACATGTTTTTGTCAAACTAAATGTTCTAAACGAGGATTGCATGATTAGAAATGGGTTAGTTCATCTGTAGGTTTTCACTAAGCCATCAAGGATAATCATTGACCTCATAATTATCAGTAGGGGGCGAAGTCAGAATTTTGAAAGTTGGAGGAAGGGGGAGGGTAAGGGTGGGATACAGAGACGGAACTGCATAGAGACTTTGCCCCTCCCCCCCCTCATATTTTCAAAATTACTTTTTTTGCCCTATGAAGTTTTTAAGAATTCTAAAAGATGTTCAATTAGTGTATTAAAAAAGTATAATAGCATCACATTAAATATTTGATAACCAAATGGGGGATATTGTTCACATAGATGATTGGTTTATTACAGACGAAAATATTTGTTTAGGGCAAATTTGATGACCAAATGAAAAGAAGAAGGAAATGTGCTACAAAATCAAGGTATAAAGAACGAGACTTTATATCATCAATAATACACTAACTCACAACTAACGTTTACAATGGTATCAAATGAATATTGATGATATATAATTCAAAATTTTTGCATCGTGTCATAAATGAGGAAATAAGTAGTCATGAAATTATCACAAATTAAATTTCCTAATGATAAGTAAGAAATAGTTTTTGAGTTTTACGAACTAAATTTTTGTAATAGTATCACATAGTGATAGTCTTTATAATTAAAAATATACTGCTAATAGTAACTTGTCCGACGATCTCAATTGATTAAATCCTTAATTTTGCCACGGTTTTTATTTGGCCCTCTCGTAATAAATTTTTGGTTCCGTCCTGATGGGATGGATTAAGGGTTGAAAGAGGATCTGGGAGCAATATTTAAAATACACATAGTTCAAGGGGACTGGTTTAATGGAATATAATCTAGAAAGATAAACAAGGGCCAAATTAAGAGTATTGAATCTTTGTGGTTTGTACCATATCTTTTGTGATCTCCAAAGCTTCCAAGCATCATTGAGTTAATTGACATGATATGATAAGCTTGGGACAGCTGAGCAACGGCTTCTAAAAAAGGAATATTTCTTGTGTGGTAGAGTGTCGATTCACATGCAGATGTGGTGGGACTGGAACAAAACAAACCAGAGCAATCAGATCAAAATGGACATACGAATAAACATGGGTTAAAGCTTAAATTTGTGCCATAAAGTGTATAGGTTTGTGGTGTTTTTTTCTCTGAAGAAAAAGTAATTATAAGTGTGTGCTACTTGTCTTGTGTCATCGTCATCGTCATCATTGTACTAGTATTTCAGTTTATAATTTAGAGTTTAAGATCAACTATTTGCCATTATCCCAAAGAAACAACATAAATTTATAGTCTCAATTTCTTAGTGGTAGATTACTGTTTCAATCAATACTCATTGTATAGGTGAGTCTCCCATCAATACTGTTGATTTATTACTGAAAAAAAGTAAAAGAAATTTTATATTACAAGGATGTAGACTCCCGACCTATAAAGAACATCAACTTCAACTTTTGTATGTTTGGATGACTTCATCTACATTTTCTCTAACCACTCCATGATAATGGATAGGGTAATGAGTGTTCTCTACCTTAGTTAGATATCCTAAACCCCTTCCTAGAAGGGTACTAAAACATAGATAAAAGAAAGAAAATCAATAGCTGAGATTGTGTTGAAAACGTCAATGTTTATCCCTGCATCTTCTAATGTCAACGACTACTTGCAGCTGGCTGCTTTTAAAAATCCAGAGCTTAGATGAATATAAATATAAATAAACAAATATATAAAAATAAGTATCATATAGTGTCATTGACATTTGATTATGCTTTTCTTGATCCATTAGAACACCCACTCCAGTGTCTCAATCGCATATTAAGTCATTACTTGCATCACCACCTTATGATCAAAGGGTGAGAAGCTAATCTTCTAGTCATTTTCTGCATCCATTTGAGAGTTTTAGCTTCAAAGCAGAGATCATCATCCCAAGTCCTAAGCAAAAGCAAAAACTGCGTGCGCCTTTGTCTTGGGCGTTAGGTAAAGAAGAGGATAGAGCTGGTGTCATACTGTCACGGTCTAACTTAGTAATACTTCTCCCTTTGAAACTAAAAGTCGATAGACACAAAAATAAATATATAAAAAATAACCCCAACTATAAGAACTCAAAAGACAGATGATTAGAACCGTTCTCTGTACTTCTCACTTCCATAGAAAAATGGATACTAGTGCCATCAAGGCCTAGGTGGTATGACCTACCCTCAATTTGTCTTGTTCAAATCATTCTAACGGATTAATGAGTTGAAATTTCCACTATAATGCAAAACTTTGAGCAAGTTAGTGGTTTTTTTCCTTACGAATAATCCTTCATCTGAGAAAAAGTTCCCATGTGCAGCCACATAACAACTCAACAAGTTGTTATGGCACTTTTAATTCAACCCTCTTTTCAATCTTGATAAGTGGACTTGTTAATAGATTAGATTTTGATTCGAATTCGGTATGTTTTCAAATTCTATTAATTGGATATGAATTGATATTTTTTGCCTAATGGTATCAAGAATAATATCAGAAATAAGTAGAGAGATATCTTCATATCCCATCCTTAGGAAGGCTCAATAACAAAAACTAACCCTTGCCTCCGGTTGCATACCTAAACACATTCAACAGTGTCCAGGTCATCTAGGTACAACCTTAAGCAAGGACGACCAAGTCGTTCATATTATCTCACGGGAAAGTTTAGTATTTTCAGCTTAAGTAAGTGGCATAGATCAAACTCTTTTATTCACGAGTTGACCCAAAAAGCAAGAAGTCACTCTAAATAAAATGACCTCTCATAGACGCGAAGGATCACAGCATATCTAAGCTTGGAGAATGGTATGAATGTCACCTCATCATGTTCAATAAGGTCATGTCACACTTAGGGAATATAGGCTCTAACAAACAAAGATTCTTCCAACAAAATGCTAACTAATTAGGGAACCATGTGATGATGACGTGAAGACCACCCCACTTGTGGATATAAATATACGGGCAACCACCCATATACACAAATCAATGGTAATTCCAAAAAGTTGTAATCTTTGTCTTCTTTCCCAAGAAATAGAAAATTCTTAAAAAGTAAGAAATTTCATTAAAGTGAATTAGTTAAGTTTTTTAGCTGGTGAATCATTATAGTCTGTGTATTCTTCTTTATGTTGTAGCTCTTACCTATATCTTACAACTCCTATAGCATTTTACAGAGCCACCAGGCTCTACCTCTCTCAGATCGCTCACACTAGTCTCACCATAATCACTATTCCATAGCCTTAAACTTCCTAGCTTAAGCATCTAGCTCACGCTTTTAAGTTTTTAACATCATCATTATCAATTATCCAAATTTAACTTTGTTACATCAAATTTAATGGATTCAAACTTGGATATATTAATATTTGATTCTAGCGTGATTCGATCCGAATTATGTACTTATATTTCCTAAAATGCACCTTAGTTTGGTTATTTAGATCGGATCAGGCATCTGTTTATTAACTAATCTATAATATAAAATAGGACAAACTTCAATAAGTCAATCCAACGATCTCAAATAAACTCATCTAACGGTCACTAATATCTCTCTCAAAATCATTCACACTGAATTCCTCTCTTCAAATCCATCAATTCTCACTTACGTTGCACCGTGACTTTAGACACAGGTTACCCTAGTTTAAACATAGACAAGAGAAATAAAATTCGTTAGATAATCAGAATGAATTTAAATCAAAAA